TCTGCGGTAGTGTAGAGGGCTGTCATGAGTCCTCACGATTTAGGCGCATTCTTGCAAAAAACACTACTCCAGTGGGGTATCTAAAAAATGCAGATAGTAGCAGAACTGTCGCAGCGGAGTGGGGTGGTGCCAAGGCCACCAGAAAAGTGAATAGGGGAACTGCTCTGGATAATGGTGGTTAACGACCTACTTATGAACTCGAGACGCAAGGCTGTCGGGTGACAGCATACGCTGACGATGTGGTTCTTATGGTTAAGGGAAAGTTCCTGAATACCGTTTACGAGCTCACCGAAGGGTACCTGAACGTGGTATCTAGGTGAGCGAATAGAAGCGGCCTAGCCGTCAACCCAAGTAAAACCAAATTGGTTTTATTTACCAGGAGGTATAAGATACCAAATGTGCCTCTCCCTTCCTTCGGGGGTTAACTTCTTCAGCCTGCTGAGAAAGTGAAATACCTAGGGCTCATCCTCGATAGCAAACTTTCCTGGAGGCCAAATATAGAGGAGAGAGTTAAGAAGGCTTCGGTCGCCTTATACTGCTGTAAAGGGGCTATTGGGAAAAGGTGGGGACTCTCACCTAAGGTGGTGTTCTGGCTCTACGAAACCGTAGTTAAGCCAATAATGTTCTATGGTGTGTTCGTCTGGTTGAGGGCGCTCGAGAGGACCACACTGGCTAAAAAGCTTGAAAGGGTTCAAAGAGCGGCGCTCATCGGAATCTCCGGTGCACTGCGGACCACACCGACACTAGCTCTTAATGCTATTTTAAACATAGCACCTGTGGACATTGCCGGTAGGTGCATTGCCGCGAAGTGTGCTCTAAGGCTCAGGGAAGCTGGGCTTTTGAAGAGGTCCGAACAAGGGCTCTCCGAAATTCTTTCCTCCTTCAGCGGCATCCCGGAAAATATAGATCACTGCGTCACTGTAGCCACTCGAGGCGGTTCCTTCTCCGCTCATATCCCAACGAGGGACATGTGGGTAGGAAGAAGCCGTTGGAAAAGAGGCGCGGTGAGCTTTTTCACGGATGGATCGAGGCTAGGAGGGAAGGTTGGAGGGGTGGTTTTCTGTAAGGAGCTCTCCGTCAGTCTTAGCTTCAGGCTACCGGATCACTGTAATGTTTTTCAGGCGGAAGTGGCTGCTATTAAGGCGGCGGTAGAAGTACTGCTGCGTAGTGCAGCCTCGTTTGTAGAAGTGAGCATTCACTCTGATAGTAGGGCAGCAATACTAGCTTTGAGCGCGCGTACCGTGCAATCAAAGCTAGTCAAGGAGTGTCTGTCCTCTTTAGAGGTAGCGTCTGGCTATTTCAACATCAGGCTCGTTTGGGTGCCTGGTCACAGCGGAATCGCTGGAAACTGCAAAGCCGATGAGCTAGCCAGGAGGGCACCTTTGCCCCGCTCACATCGGAATGGGATCGGGTTGGATCTCCGTTAGCGTCCTGCGCTCTAACTTTGGTTCAATGGACCTCGCGTGCACTCAGCAGACGTTGGTCGACGACTAGGTCCTGTGCGACTGCGAAATCCTTCTGGCCAAGAGTGGATCGCAGGAGGTCGGGGGAACTTCTCGCCCTGAGCAAAGTGCATCTAGCCGCTATTGTAGGAGTTCTCACTGGACACTGTCCAATGGGCACTCATGCGGTACGGCTTGGTGTACTACCCGATTCCAGTTGCCAAAGTTGTATGGAAGAGGGCGAGGTGGAATAATCCCAGCACTTTATCCTCCAATGTCCGGCATTCGCTAGGCTGCGATTGAAATATCTCGGCAATCACACGTTTGGCGGCCCTGAATACCTATCCGTAATGGATATTGGCCGTCTTAACAAGTTTGTAGTCAGCACAAGACGTCTTGTCGACTTGTAAGGGTCTTTTGATCCGGACTATAGGAGTCGTAGGTATCATAACGGACTGGCGTCTTAAGCTGTCCAAGTGGGATCCCTTCTGGGATCGACCTCCTAACCTAACCTAACCTAATGTATTTCCTGGGTATTTTTCGGTTTCCATTTTACAGAAAAATAGATAATTAATTACTTCTTAATATATGTACGTGTATATTTTAATCACAAAAGATTTTCTAAATTAATTTATAAAACTAATTTTAACAAAAAAAAAAATTTTTAATATTTCAAAACACTTACAAGTTTTAAATAAGCTAAACATGAACATTTCTTAGTTTTTATATACTAAATAAACAAATATCTTTCGATAATTTATTCGGAAGTCAAAGTTTACATAAAATTTGCTGGGAATTCTAACCAAAATAAGTATATACGTTGGCAATTAGTACTGCTAAGCAAAACAATACTCTGCGACAAAATACCGTTCTTTCTTAAAAACAAAACTATATTAAATCTCTTTCAATAAAGATTAGAAATATACGTAAAAGTCACCAAAAATCTGATCTCAGAAATTACCCAATTATTTCGAAATTTATTTCTGTGGGATTCTTAGTGGTAGTTCATTGTTTTGCTTGTCATCTGTTCAGTAGCTCATGAACTCGTGGTTTTTTTTGGCAGCGCTGAAAGTTCATGAGCTCTCTCAGAAAACAAATAGAGGAGTTTCGGATCATTTTATCTACATATGTTCGTCGGTGGTGCTGCTTGTATAGCACACCTCGTTTTTGCAAATTCAGATCAAATATTTGCCTGGGTTCACATCCCAGCACAGATGTAGTTTTATTCCTTTTTTAATTTTTATAAACCTTTTTTATTAAATTTATTTTAATTTAATTTTCATTTTTTCCTCATTATATAAATGTTCTTTAAAATCTATTATTTCTTTTGGTTATTTTAATTTTCCCTAACACGCATGCCAAAGAACAACTGTGCATACATACATACAAGTATATTAGTCATTCCTTTATAAGGTGGTGACAATTTACTTGGTTCCTGCTTAGAGTGGTGTAGTTTGTTGAATTCGATTATCATGAGGGGAAGGTACCTTTTTGATGTGGTGTAATTGAACTTTCGAATTTGCGCATTTTCGATGTTCTCCTTCTAATAGTTTACATTTTAGCACAGCTAACATTTGCGCCTTCTATATTCATTAACATTCTCTGGAGTAATATTCATTGTGGTTGTTGTTATAATAGTCATAATTTTTTTGATATGGCTCACTCTACACTCTTATTTACATGAAAATTTCTTTGTTGTTTACTTGGTGGACTTGTTAGGTTGGATTTTTTCTATCTTTTCCCTGCATATTAAAAATTCGGCCTATTTGCGTAGTTTACTACATTCGTCCTTATGCTAGATATCCATTGGTTCCGATTTCGGTTGTGGGTTTGGTGGTGTTGATCGTGAGGGTTGATTATAATTGGCAGATTTTTTCAGGAATGGTTTACTTTCAGCTGATTTTTGCGAAGTCATTTCTACTATTATTGTTTTCGTGCTCACTTGTTGATCAACAATATCTAGCCTTTTAGGATTTGACAGTATTTCAGATTGACTGTTGCAGCGTTTGCTAAGGAGGGTTAAAAAATTTTGGGTTATGTGTTTCTTGGTATTGCTGTGGTCACATAAAAGGGTTTGGTCTTTGTAGGTATAGTTGTGGTATTGAGATCTATATAATTGTTGATCCGGTGACAGATATGCCAACTACGAGTGAAATTGATGCGGTTTTGTATAATTCCTTGGTGATAGTGGTGGTATATAGTTAAAGTCATTAAATCCATTTTGATGGTTAGAATGGTTGCTTCTGAATTTTTGATTTTCTTATTTCGGAATGAATAAATAAAGTGCTTCTGGAAGGTCTCTTGGTTCTTTCATACTCAATAACCATTAAAGAACACAATTGAGTCTTCGTACGAATGTGTCAAGGGCTTTTATTCTGTAGAATTCAGTGAGTAGCCGGACGGACTCCTGACTAACGTCTATGCAACCAATTTTGTTTAGTATTAAGGATAAGTGAGAGGAGATTTTATTTTAGAAATCTTAGATTGATTGTCGATCTTGAATTAGTCCAGTCATTTGATATTCTAGTGTTCCTAGATCTCGTTTGTCAGCGTAGAGTATTGTCAAACACATTAAAATCTTTTTACAATTGAGAGGCTGATATAGAATTCTAACGCTGTAACCGCGTTGCCAACTACCTTGTAATATACTAAATATAACATACACTTGAGGCTAAAACTGAGTGATTGGCATAAGAAAAAGCCTTCGTGGCAAAATTTTATTGACAGTTAAATGGCTTTTAAATAATGTTCGTTGCAGATTCATAAGTTATTTATGTTTAAATTTTGTTTTTTATTAAATGAGATGATGCTTCCATACCACAAACTTTCCGTTTCGTTACTGCCGGTAGTTATAAAGTATGCTTTTAACTTTGGGCTGGCGCATACCCATGGTTGTTAAGGAACTTTTAAATATTATGAACATCGTATTTGTGCTCAGTGAATTAAAACACAAATGGCTGAAGACGAAGAGCAAACCTTTTTACTCAAAAAGTATATTCCTAGGAATAGTAGATCTTTATGTTCGAAACATTTACTATGGTCCCTTAATTTAATTTTTTCTGTACTCAAATTGTAGCTACAATACAAGATCAAGGTTCAAATAATTTGATATTCTACTGGTATGTGAAGAGCTACTCCGAACACTGTTATTGTTGCGAAACGTTTTATGGAATGCCATGTTAATGAAAACTATTATCTTTTAGTGATAATTTAATTCCTCACGTTTTCAAATCTTTCTGCAATATTCACGTATCAGTCAGTTTGACATATTCATTTCAAAACTACTAGTCCTATGTATAGTATATGATATACTCGTAGTATAGTTGGTTTTACTATAGAATTATTCTGTTTTATTTTCTTAACTAAGAAAGCTCTTCACAGTCTGTAAATCTTAAGTTGTTATGTTTTTTCATATTTAAATTTATTTAAACATATATTTACAAATTATATGATTTATATAACTTATATTTTTAACGTATATATAATCAAACAAACTTCCTTCTAATTAGTTATTAAATATAATTTACAAAATTTTCTTATTGCTACTGTTGTTGTTCGTTTGCTAAAAAGCATGGTAAGCATGTGTATCTTATATAGAATTATCTAATTAATGTTTAAGATATTTCATAATTTATGATTGGAAGTAAGCCATGTTAAACCTTCATAAAGCCCATCTCCTGTGGTTGCACAGGAAGGTTGAACATACCAATTGCGATCCCTTATTCTAGTTAAGCCTAGTTTCTCTTGAATTTCATGTGGTTTCATTGCTGCAACAGAAAAAAAGATTAAAAGTTGGGTAAATTTATAAGTACTAAATATAAAATTTAAATAAGTTTGTTTATTTTCGGTAAAAAAAGGAGTTTTTAAATGAACGTTTTATTTGGTTTGGCACAACACCATGGCAATACAACTAGCTAGTTTTAACGCGAAATTTTAATACATCGCTCTTGGATAAATCTCGGGGATTTCATTGCTGAATAAAAAGGAGATAATTATCACGAATATTAAAAATAAATATATTACTATTTTCAGTTTAAAAATAATGTAGTAATAATTCTTTTGGCGTGCAAAAAGGCAGAAATTTTTCAAAACAAAAAATAACATAAAAATCAGTTTTATAAATATCATATAAATTTTTTTCACTTTTTCTCAGTTTCACAATACTATAGATGAACGTATCTTAAGTATTTATTTTATTTTATTTATTTAAGGCAAATTTCGAAAGTCATAATATAAAATTAAAGAACAAACAAGTGTACATTAAAGCAAATATTTTCCTGTCTATTAATTCTTTCAAAATGTAAACATATTTTTTATATCAAGCTACAACTAAGTAGAAAGTGTTAATTTTGATTAAAAAAAATTAAAGTACATATTTTTTTTTTAAGATATTCAATGTAAAAAAACTCCAAAAGTCCTGATGTTGATATTTCTACCTACTGTTTATAATAAGGTTGCTGTTGTTGTTGTTGTAGCGACAGAATTCTGCCGAGATAACAGTCTTTGGCCGGAATAAATCCGGGTCCGTTCAGGTTACGTAGACCCCACTGTCGTGGGAACGGATTATAATAAGGTAAGAGTATGCTCTAAAATACATAAAATGGGAACAGACGTCTCAATTGCTTGTGATAGTCAGTCAATATTCACTTGTAAAGTACATTTTGGTATAATGTTTATATAGTCAAATAGCAGCTATACTCGCCCTATTATATTGGGTCGTTCACTAAGTGACTTCGTTTGATGAAAACAGCTGATCTTATTGATTTTTTCGCAGCCAACTTCAAACCTAACTGCTTTTCCGTTATTTATTTAAACAGCTGATTAGTCAGGCTTGTTTGTAAAAACATTTCTTAAATTTTTTGGAATAGTTTTTATTTGGTGCCCTATCGAAGATGGAAAAAGGAACAGCATTTGAGGATGCACCACGTACTAGAAGGCCTCTTGATGTGGATAAAATGAAGTGTTGGTTAATACAAATCGTCGTATAACAACTCGAGAGATTATTGAAATATTAAATTTGTCTAACGCGACCCTTCACGTTATACAATAAAAAAAATTGTATTTAAATTGCATTAAAAAAAAACGAAATTACTAAGTGAACGACCCAATAGATGCATATTAGGAGTGTCAAGTTCTCCAGATTATAAACTAGAGGAATTCTGTCCACCCCCGTTTTCATATTGTTTATACACATACAATATAAAAAAAATGGTAAAAAAAATAAAAGAAAACATATTTTTTAAGTTTAAAGTGCCTTGGAGACGGTCAAATAATTCCATCAACGCTTTAAGTGTTTGGTGTTGTCGGCTTTTGTTGGCTACACGTACGCTACACCGACTTGTTGTCAGCTATGCTTGATGAATATCAAAAAATTTTGATATTTGAATCTGACGGTCTCCACTCATGATTGACAAGAACAAGATCATTTGCATAGTGACAATTGAAAGATGAATTAATTGATATAATTTATGAGTTAATGATCCATTAACTTGATTTTAAGATTAAGTTACCGACAATCTTTGTCTTGTTTTTCTATTGATGGCTTTATCATATTTAAAAGTTCATTGAAGGTTTCTGATTCACAAAAAGTTATGATAATTTCCTTCCCTTGATAATTTCAATTCGTCTAAAAGATATTCATGTATAAATTGCTTCTGTTTTTGGTACTAAACTTATATCCACTCTTTCTTCTTTTTCTTTTTGCGTTTTTTTTTTTCAATAAAACTGCAGCAGACCCGATTAAATGATAATTGACGTGTTTATTTGAACGTTTGCGAGCAAGACTTCACTCACACATATGCAATGCTTGACATAATTATTTGATCGTTTCCAGGGCACTTAAGATTCACACTAATAATCTGCATTTAAATTATTTTAACCCTTAATTCACTAGATATAAAGCATCAAAGTTTTTGCAAGGCACTAGTTGAAATAAGCTGTGAGCCACTGTATATTACGAAAAGACAAAGCTAAAAACATAAGCATACACTCGCCAGAAAAATTATCCGTACACCTCGACATGAAAACAATAAACTGATAAATTTGTGATCAAATAACTTATTATGTATAAAAATAGTATACTTTTACAACACTTTCCATACGTTTTTTACTTTTAGACAAACACTTTAAAAAAATTCCCAGAACAAAAACTATACACTGTTACTTAAATTCAACGGAAAAAGTATCCGTACATATCAAAACGGGATATTTCCCTTGTAATATGGTGACAAATACATTCCCTTAAGCGCTTATATTGTATTGTATAATTGATCTGGAACTTGTGCATAAATTCGCGATGACCCCTAAAATTAAAGTAGTTAGTGCTGGCGAAAGAAAAATTATTCTTAAACTCAGAAAAGAAGGCATATCATTCCGAGTAATAGGTAAAATGATAGGAAGGACACATTCTTCTGTGCAGTATGTGGTGGAAGCATTCAAAAAAACTAAGTCGATTGTGCCAAAGCCACGCTCTGGTCGACCGAGTATATTAACCGTTCGAGAAAAACGAACAATATTACAGTCAGTAAAAACAAATCCTCGACTTACTGCCTCGAAAATATGTGAAAATATTAAAAATTTGTTCGACAAGGATCTCCATGAAGATACTGTACGAAAATATTTGAAGAAAGATGGGTATCACGCACGTGTAGCGCGTAGGAAGCCCTTTATATCCGAAGTAAATAGACAGAAATGTATGGATTTTGCAAACAAATGTATCAGCAAGCCTCGGGAGTTTTGGGAACGTGTCTTATTCACCGACGAAAGCAAGTTTTGTGCTTTTGGCATTAAAGGAAAAAAGTTGGTGTGGCGTAAGAGTGGTACTGCACTTGATAAAGAAAATCTTTTACCCACCGTCAAACATGGCGGAGGAGGTGTGATGGTATGGGGGTGTATGGCGGCAGAAGGAGTAGGCAAACTCGTTTTTATAGATACAATAATGGATCAATTCGGCTATTTAAGTATTTTAAAAAATAATTTGAAGGAAAGTGCTCAGCAGTTGGGGCTTGGTGATGATTTTTGGTTCGAACAGGATAATGATCCAAAGCACACGGCGCACAATACCAGGCTTTGGTTGCTTTATAACATAAAAAATCAATTGCGCTCGCCACCTCAATCTCCAGACCTCAACCCCATCGAGCATTTGTGGGATTTACTGGAGCGCAGAATCCGCCAACACACCATAACCTCCAGAGAAATGCTCAAAAATGTGATCATAAATGAATGGGCGAAAATTACAAATCATGACACATCCAAACTAGTTCATTCAATGCCACATCGACTTGCCGAGGTCCTAAAACGTAAGAGCTATCCTACTAGTTATTAGGATATTAAATTTTTCCAAAATAATTTAATTACATTTAATTATAATCAAAATGTACGAATACTTTTTCTGTTTCATTATGTGAGCATTTTTTGGTTTTTGTTCTGTGAAATTTTTTTTAAAGTGTATGTCTAAAATAAAAAACTCATGGAAAGTGTAGTAAAAATACTGAATAAAACTTTTGGAGGCTTTTTTTTATACATAATAAGTTATTTGATCACAAATTTCTCAGTTTATTGTTTTCATGTCGAGGTGTACGGATAATTTTTCTGGCGAGTGTATGTATTAATGCTACTAAAAACTTAGCCTAAAACTTAATTTTTATGCTGTTTGATTAATTGACGGAAATATATGTACAAGTATATACAGTGGTTCACAAAAGTATTCTTTTCTTTGGAATTTATTATTCGGTGCAGTTCTTCTATTTTTCATTGAATTTGGTGGCCAATAATAAGTATTACTATAATTTTTAGGCAAACTACAGTTAAGTTCATTTCGTTTGTTACTGAGATTATGTCTAAAGTAAGCTGAAGCCAAAGTTATCGAAAAAGTTATAACGAAAAATGTTCCTTTGTCGTCATTTAATAGTGATAATATGGTTTGAGCTTATATGTCATATTTAAGCAAGTTGTAGTATAATATTTATACTCTCAGAGAAAAAAACACAGGCAGTCGAAAATTTTCTAATATTCCATTTTTAAACTGTCACCATTCGCTCAAAGTACACTATTTGTCTGATTTTACTTTTTTATTATGTGACTCCATTGGTTTACTGTTATTTCTGAAACCGTTTGTATCTGCACGTGTATATTTCAGTACTTACGGGATTTTCTTTTGAGTCATTTGTAAAAATCAGCCAAGTTGCACATGGTGTTGTCAATCAAATAAATTATCCAAACGTCAAATATCTCATGAATTGGATATAAGTGATTGGAAAAATTAGGATTTTTTTTTCAATTACAACCATTAAAAAAAAAAATGTCGATTAAATTTGACCGAAATTTTCATTGCGATGGAAAAAGGTCTGCCAAAATTCGAATTTAAACTTTTTTTTCCTTCGTTCAAGCACGAGTTTATGGTCTTAACTAAAACAAATAATTTTTTTTTTGTCATTTTAGATGATCCTGTCAGGAGTTATGCTGATAACGCAGACGCACCTTTTTTCCGAGGGGTCACCGGAAGTGACCTTACAATGGCGGAGTTTTATTTTTTTGAAAATCTCAGAAATTATTCTTAAATGTTTATTTTTAAAAACAGAAAAAAGTTTGAACTAAATAAATAATTTTTTATATAGAAAAAAAATTTTGAAGATAGGCCTTTTTTTACCCGACGAAACCCGTGTAACCCCTTTAATCGAAAAAAGGGCAGTGGGCGTCCGAAAAGTAAAACCTCGTCATGAACGACAAATTTAACGGATATACATTACTGATCGCTTTCAACTTTCTT